TAAAGCAATCTTTTTCAAACTTGGCAACTTCAAGGTGTGTGAACTTCAACTCCCAGAATTCTGCGAGTTAAAATCCACACATCCTAAAGTTGCCAACTTTGAGAAACACTGTTCTATACCAATTACTGAGATGATTATAAATGGTTGTTAGAATATCCTAAATTACTCTACATGTTCAGCAGAAGACAGGCACAAAAGGAGGAAGAGGATTGTCTCCTGGGAAAATGTCAGTGGAAGACCTTTTCGCCCATGTCATATTTCTAAGAGACTGAAAATTATAATGAAGTCAACAAAAATGGTTGGGTAGCCAATGGGCAACCATGGGTCTTTACAGGGAGGAATGGATGGGTTCAGCCCGCTGATGAAGTCCTCAAGGTTCAACACTGGTTTGCCTGATGTGGTTGTGTGGTACCCTGGCATTCACTGTTTCAGTGAAGTGATATCGTTTCAGCTGTGCCAAAATGTTACAGAAGTCTAAATGGGGAAGGAGTATTGTAATTGGGTGCCTGTTAAGAATGTTTGCTCTCTCCCTCCAGCTGCTACGTAACTAATCCTGGCAAATGGTTCTTACAACATCATTCCTGCTAAATCTTCATGCTCAGGGAAGGATATAAGAGAGAAGGCACTTGGTCTTAAGCCATGGAGGGCTTTACATATTTTGCTGCAGATAAATGAAATGCTTTTATGAACGCTGATCCAAAAGCCTGCTCTTGGGTTTCTGCATCAGCTGAACAGACAAATGATGGACAAGTATGTTTCCTGCCACAGGCAGGTTTTACAGCTGAGAATGGAACAAAAAATAGTGATTTAAGCTTTGTATCTATATTTGCATTTTTTTTTCTCCTTATATTTTACACACACTCCTTTATCCAAGTTTCACAGCCAATACTACTCCTGATAAATTTGCACTGGGTAAAAAAAAAGAAAAAAGAACTTTCCTTTAAAGACCCATTGGCTCTGATTTTGAGAAATGCAAAATGCTTGTATTATTCTAATCCTTTGACTGAAACTCTTTTGCTATTTTTACCACACTAGTGTTGCCTTGATAGAATTATTTTCTATTCTGCATGTTTACATACAGGTTGGTCATTTTCTTACTGTCCTTGTGGTCTAATATTCCCCCAACATGGCCTAGTACTCTATCCTTCATTAGCTTGATCTCACAAGGATTCCACCATTTTTTTTTAAATTACACAGCATGAAACATAAAAGATAAAATAAAGATATCACTCAACACGCCTCATGTGAAAAACATTTCTACGACCTATCTGTAAGCAAATACATGCATTTGTGATAAATACGTATCTGACAAATGCATGTACTTGCAAGGAAATGTATCTATAAGCAGACAGGCAAAAAAACAAAACAGAACAAAAACACGTTCTTACCCTGGAGGATAAGTAAATATTGAAATGCAAACATTTAACTCAAGAAGTATCTTGCACATAAAACATTTATGCAAAACGATCACAGACCGGGCATGTTGTTACAGAAGAGTTCTGATTCTGAAATTACCTTGTAACATTTGGGGCAAACAAGATACGTTACGTACTTTCACTGGATCTAAATTACGTTGAGTCAAGACTTATTGAATTAGGTGGTTGGCTGACCGGACTGCAATTCGTGGCTTAGCATAATGGGTGAACGCAGGCATCGTAATCCAGTTCAGGATATTGGGGCTCATCCAGTCAAAGGCTTATTCAGTAAACTATGACAAAACCGGCCACTTTTTTGCAGCCTAAGAGTGGGTGGGGCAGAAATTGAAAAAGGAAAAGGTAGGTAGACATAAACACATAATTAAAATCATCAAGGGGGTGCAGTGTGACCCTCAAGCTAGCACAAGGTGAGTATCCCGGGTTAGGGCAATGTGTGAATCCGGTCTCCAAAGCAGCTTTGCTAACGGAGGGGAAGAATTACCCTCCCTGGGTGCCCTGTGAAGTTGCTTTAAATAACTTCTTCACTGTCCCTTTGAAAGGACAGAGGTTAATTCTGTAAGTCATGGGCTTTTGGGTTTAGAGCAGTCGGTGCGCAAACTTGGCCACTTTGAGCTGGCCATCTCTCCCCCCAACCACCCCCCCCCCCCCAGCGTGGGGGGGGGGGGGTG